AAATCGTCTTGAGATGAAGGAGAGCGATATAAAACAAAGTGAAAGGTGATAGAGTGAAGTGGTGCTAAACGAAAGCACATAAAAGAGTAGTCTGTGGATTCCAACCTAGTTTCCCGACAAATGGGAGAATTCTTACGAATGTAAATACCCAGGCTAAGCATGTGACTATTGGAGTCTTTACGAATCAAAGGAAGATAACCATCAACACTAAGATCACAAGATGAGACAGCTGAACTTAAATTAGTCTCACAAAGAGCAAGTAAGTCTGGTAAACTTTGCAAGAGATAAGACTCAACAGAAGAAAAGTTACTTTGAAGGCTGCAAATATTACTGAATGAAACGTTTAAAAAATTTGGTGATGGCAATCATTTTTTGTGTTTTATATAGTTATTGGTCTCGAAAATGCACACCAAAAGCACGAATAAGGACACCATCCATGCAAAACTAGGCACTGTTAGTACTCTGATATTCTACAGCTGTTGATGGAATCAGCCTCTCTAAGAGCTACCACACAGTTCGGGAAATCTGACTACCAGCTGGCCTAAGAACCATAAAACTGAATTTTAGAGCTTATCTTTATTAGAATGTCAACAGAGGACTAAAAAAATTGCATATTGTATGAGTTAGGAAAACATGACAAGAATTTCAAAACATGACAAGAAAAAAGAGAACTTTGAAAGTTTATAAAAAAATTTAAACATAAAGGAACAGTAAAAGAATGTAACAATGTGTATATGTTATATAAGCAAATCTAAATTGTTAGTTATAACATGATCTTACGAGTTACAGTTGTGGCCAAAATACTTTGACCCGCTTTAAAAATATACCAAAAATACAAAAAAACCTTAAAAAACTTTAAATCTATAAACTAATATTTAGTTTAATGTCCTTTGTTTTTAAGCACCCATTTGATACATTTTGACATAGAATTGACAAAATGTATTGACATTAGGTTTTTGACATAATTCTTTGGTAATCCAAGTACTCATGTAATCATAAACTCATGTAATACAGTAGACTCAATCTTGCATTGTGTGTGGTGCATGTTGTTTCACTCGCCACTTGAGAACCATCCACAAATTTTTTATTGGATTTAAGTCTGGTAAATTCCCAGGTTATTCTAACACCTTGATCTTTTCTTTGACAAACCAAATGGGTTTTGGGTTGAAATGCCTTTGCTGTATGGCACAGCGCACCATCTTGTTGAAATTTAGTACATTAATGTATTTGAATTGTATTACAAACCTTGCTTTCTTATATTTCCAGATATTTAGCTGCATTCACATTTGTGTCTTGAGGTACAATATACAGTGCAACACATCCAAAAGCAGTAAAAAAACAAATATTTATATTATGGCTCAAATCGCCTCATAGCAACAGCTACACGACACCTGCTAAAAATTGTTTTTACATAATTAATAACCTAGATCAATGTAAGAAGTTAAAAAATTGCAAAAAAAGCAAAAAATTTGGCAGGCCTAAGTATTTTGGCCGCGACTGTACGTAATAAATAACCAAGATCAATTTGGCCACGACAGTACATAGGAGATAAATTAAATATTTCTCAAAGTCATTCAAACTTATGAAAAGTGAATATTTAACAGTTTATTCTAACAAAGAATTAAATATTTTAAATACTACTGCTTTTGTTGAATATAACTATAAATATGTTATTGCAGAAAGTAATTATTCAAGTAATACAAAAGTTTTATTTGTAACTTTATCCATGTGGATAAAAATATAGAAAACCTGATAACCAGAAACAACAGAAAAAAGAAGAATTTCATACAAGTATTAAAAAAAACTTAAAATAATTTAAAAAAAGCTAAAACTTCAAAATAAAATTTGTAGCCCAACATGAAAACATGCAAACAAAGAGAAAACAAATATAATAAACTCTTACGTCAAAACATTTTTAATTGATTCAACTGCATCCTTTAAATGCTTATAATCTGGATTAGATTCTGGTGTCTTTTTTAAAATGTCTAAAAAAAAGTTAAACATATGTGTGGGCACAAGGATATATTGCATAATAATATTTGAAAAGGATAGTGTACATATATATTGACTGAAAATTAGAATACATGTATGAACCTAAACCTTCAACCAATATATATTTTACACCACTGACTAACATCAAAACTTATTTTAAAATTTTTTTTTTAATTTCGCACATAGACTATTCATGATTATTTTGAAAACCTTTTTACAACATGATTTCATATTACTGCATGAAAATAACAATTTATTCAATTAATTATTTTAGAACATTTGTGAGCATCACAAATGTTCTAAACTAAAACAAAAAATAAATAATGAAAAATGAAGACCATTAAAATGGAGCAAAGAGAAATTAATGTTACATTATTTTAAATTATTTTTTAATAAAATTTTACTTGGTACCATTAATTAGTAAACTCATTGATGGTATTCTCTGTACAGGACGTATAAGTAGTTCAGTTAAACTTTGACGACTACAATCAGGTTTTGTTAAACATATCTAAATATAAAATCATCAAAATGTTATATATATTATATAGAGTAAAACAGGGTAAAATCATCAAAATGTTACATATATTATATAGAGTAAAACAGGGTAAAATCATCAAAATGTTATATATATTATATAGAGTAAAACAGGGTAAAATCATCAAAATGTTATATATATTATATAGAGTAAAACAGGGTAAAATCATCAAAATGTTATATATATTATATAGAGTAAAACAGGGTAAAATCATCAAAATGTTATATATATTATATAGAGTAAAACAGGGTAAAATCATCAAAATGTTATATATATTATATAGAGTAAAACAGGGTAAAATCATCAAAATGTTATATATATTATATAGAGTAAAACAGGGTAAAATCATCAAAATGTTATATATATTATATAGAGTAAAACAGGGTAAAATCATCAAAATGTTATATATATTATATAGAGTAAAACAGGGTAAAATCATCAAAATGTTATATATATTATATAGAGTAAAACAGGGTAAAATGTTATATATATTATATAGAGTAAAACAGGGGTAAAATGTTATATATATTATATAGAGTAAAACAGGGGTAAAATGTTATATATATTATATAGAGTAAAACAGGGGTAAAATGTTATATATATTATATAGAGTAAAACAGGGGTAAAATGTTATATATATTATATAGAGTAAAACAGGGGTAAAATGTTATATATATTATATAGAGTAAAACAGGGGTAAAATGTTATATATATTATATAGAGTAAAACAGGGGTAAAATGTTATATATATTATATAGAGTAAAACAGGGTGAAAATGTTATATATATTATATAGAGTAAAACAGGGGTAAAATGTTATATATATTATATAGAGTAAAACAGGGGTAAAATGTTATATATATTATATAGAGTAAAACAGGGGTAAAATGTTATATATATTATATAGAGTAAAACAGGGGTAAAATGTTATATATATTATATAGAGTAAAACAGGGGTAAAATGTTATATATATTATATAGAGTAAAACAGGGGTAAAATGTTATATATATTATATAGAGTAAAACAGGGTGAAAATGTTATATATATTATATAGAGTAAAACAGGGGTAAAATGTTATATATATTATATAGAGTAAAACAGGGTAAAATGTTATATATATTATATAGAGTAAAACAGGGGTAAAATGTTATATATATTATATAGAGTAAAACAGGGGTAAAATGTTATATATATTATATAGAGTAAAACAGGGGTAAAATGTTATATATATTATATAGAGTAAAACAGGGGTAAAATGTTATATATATTATATAGAGTAAAACAGGGGTAAAACGTTATATATATTATATAGAGTAAAACAGGGGTAAAATGTTATATATATTATATAGAGTAAAACAGGGGTAAAATGTTATATATATTATATAGAGTAAAACAGGGGTAAAATGTTATATATATTATATAGAGTAAAACAGGGTGAAAATGTTATATATATTATATAGAGTAAAACAGGGTGAAAATGTTATATATATTATATAGAGTAAAACAGGGGTAAAATGTTATATATATTATATAGAGTAAAACAGGGGTAAAATGTTATATATATTATATAGAGTAAAACAGGGGTAAAATGTTATATATATTATATAGAGTAAAACAGGGGTAAAATGTTATATATATTATATAGAGTAAAACAGGGGTAAAATGTTATATATATTATATAGAGTAAAACAGGGGTAAAATGTTATATATATTATATAGAGTAAAACAGGGGTAAAATGTTATATATATTATATAGAGTAAAACAGGGTGAAAATGTTAAATATATTATATAGAGTAAAACAGGGGTAAAATGTTATATATATTATATAGAGTAAAACAGGGGTAAAATGTTATATATATTATATAGAGTAAAACAGGGGTAAAATGTTATATATATTATATAGAGTAAAACAGGGGTAAAATGTTATATATATTATATAGAGTAAAACAGGGTGAAAATGTTATATATATTATATAGAGTAAAACAGGGGTAAAATGTTATATATATTATATAGAGTAAAACAGGGGTAAAATGTTATATATATTATATAGAGTAAAACAGGGGTAAAATGTTATATATATTATATAGAGTAAAACAGGGGTAAAATGTTATATATATTATATAGAGTAAAACAGGGGTAAAATGTTATATATATTATATAGAGTAAAACAGGGGTAAAATGTTATATATATTATATAGAGTAAAACAGGGGTAAAATGTTATATATATTATATAGAGTAAAACAGGGGTAAAATGTTATATATATTATATAGAGTAAAACAGGGTGAAAATGTTATATATATTATATAGAGTAAAACAGGGGTAAAATGTTATATATATTATATAGAGTAAAACAGGGTAAAATGTTATATATATTATATAGAGTAAAACAGGGGTAAAATGTTATATATATTATATAGAGTAAAACAGGGGTAAAATGTTATATATATTATATAGAGTAAAACAGGGGTAAAATGTTATATATATTATATAGAGTAAAACAGGGGTAAAATGTTATATATATTATATAGAGTAAAACAGGGGTAAAACGTTATATATATTATATAGAGTAAAACAGGGGTAAAATGTTATATATATTATATAGAGTAAAACAGGGGTAAAATGTTATATATATTATATAGAGTAAAACAGGGGTAAAATGTTATATATATTATATAGAGTAAAACAGGGTGAAAATGTTATATATATTATATAGAGTAAAACAGGGTGAAAATGTTATATATATTATATAGAGTAAAACAGGGGTAAAATGTTATATATATTATATAGAGTAAAACAGGGGTAAAATGTTATATATATTATATAGAGTAAAACAGGGGTAAAATGTTATATATATTATATAGAGTAAAACAGGGGTAAAATGTTATATATATTATATAGAGTAAAACAGGGGTAAAATGTTATATATATTATATAGAGTAAAACAGGGGTAAAATGTTATATATATTATATAGAGTAAAACAGGGGTAAAATGTTATATATATTATATAGAGTAAAACAGGGTGAAAATGTTAAATATATTATATAGAGTAAAACAGGGGTAAAATGTTATATATATTATATAGAGTAAAACAGGGGTAAAATGTTATATATATTATATAGAGTAAAACAGGGGTAAAATGTTATATATATTATATAGAGTAAAACAGGGGTAAAATGTTATATATATTATATAGAGTAAAACAGGGTGAAAATGTTATATATATTATATAGAGTAAAACAGGGGTAAAATGTTATATATATTATATAGAGTAAAACAGGGGTAAAATGTTATATATATTATATAGAGTAAAACAGGGGTAAAATGTTATATATATTATATAGAGTAAAACAGGGGTAAAATGTTATATATATTATATAGAGTAAAACAGGGGTAAAATGTTATATATATTATATAGAGTAAAACAGGGTGAAAATGTTATATATATTATATAGAGTAAAACAGGGGTAAAATGTTATATATATTATATAGAGTAAAACAGGGGTAAAATGTTATATATATTATATAGAGTAAAACAGGGTGAAAATGTTATATATATTATATAGAGTAAAACAGGGTGAAAATGTTATATATATTATATAGAGTAAAACAGGGGTAAAATGTTATATATATTATATAGAGTAAAACAGGGGTAAAATGTTATATATATTATATAGAGTAAAACAGGGGTAAAATGTTATATATATTATATAGAGTAAAACAGGGTGAAAATGTTATATATATTATATAGAGTAAAACAGGGTGAAAATGTTATATATATTATATAGAGTAAAACAGGGGTAAAATGTTATATATATTATATAGAGTAAAACAGGGTGAAAATGTTATATATATTATATAGAGTAAAACAGGGTGAAAATGTTATATATATTATATAGAGTAAAACAGGGGTAAAATGTTATATATATTATATAGAGTAAAACAGGGGTAAAATGTTATATATATTATATAGAGTAAAACAGGGGTAAAATGTTATATATATTATATAGAGTAAAACAGGGGTAAAATGTTATATATATTATATAGAGTAAAACAGGGGTAAAATGTTATATATATTATATAGAGTAAAACAGGGTGAAAATGTTATATATATTATATAGAGTAAAACAGGGGTAAAATGTTATATATATTATATAGAGTAAAACAGGGGTAAAATGTTATATATATTATATAGAGTAAAACAGGGGTAAAATGTTATATATATTATATAGAGTAAAACAGGGGTAAAATGTTATATATATTATATAGAGTAAAACAGGGGTAAAATGTTATATATATTATATAGAGTAAAACAGGGGTAAAATGTTATATATATTATATAGAGTAAAACAGGGGTAAAATGTTATATATATTATATAGAGTAAAACAGGGTGAAAATGTTATATATATTATATAGAGTAAAACAGGGGTAAAATGTTATATATATTATATAGAGTAAAACAGGGGTAAAATGTTATATATATTATATAGAGTAAAACAGGGTGAAAATGTTATATATATTATATAGAGTAAAACAGGGTGAAAATGTTATATATATTATATAGAGTAAAACAGGGGTAAAATGTTATATATATTATTTAGAGTAAAACAGGGTGAAAATGTTATATATATTATATAGAGTAAAACAGGGGTAAAATGTTATATATATTATATAGAGTAAAACAGGGGTAAAATGTTATATATATTATATATAAAACAGGGTGAAAATGTTATATATATTATATAGAGTAAAACAGGGGTAAAATGTTATATATATTATATAGAGTAAAACAGGGTGAAAATGTTATATATATTATATAGAGTAAAACAGGGGTAAAATGTTATATATATTATATAGAGTAAAACAGGGGTAAAATGTTATATATATTATATAGAGTAAAACAGGGGTAAAATGTTATATATATTATATAGAGTAAAACAGGGGTAAAATGTTATATATATTATATAGAG